ACTTTCTTCTACTATTTCTTATTTTACAAAGTGACAGTCATTGATATATACCTAGGATTCTGTATAATAGGAGTAGGAGATTACAATTCTACAGACAAAAAGAAGAAAAAACAAAACTACACAAAACCAAGAGGAACATGAAGGCACTTAAAAATTGATGAGACAAAAGCATATGCAGCAAAGCAGTTATGGGTGACAGTCTATGTCTCTCTGTACCTGGTAGCACAGGTATGAAGATGCAGGACTGCTGCTCCTGGAAGGTAGAAGTCATAGGCAACTCCTGAATTTCCCCTGTGCTCACCACAGAGTCTGAATAGCCCAAAAAAAATGACAAATACAGGAGAAGTTGACACATCTTTAAGGCCTACATGCTAGAGGCCTAAAAGACAGGCAAGAAGCAGAGAAAAAAAAAAAAAAAACGAAACCTTTAGGTTGTTATCCTAGAAGTTTTGCAAACACCAGCCTAGATATTTTGGTAGCAATCCCCAAGCACTGGGACCTATAAATGGTGTTTCTCAGAAACAGCCCTGGACCCCAGAACGGGGCATTACGTCTTGGTGTGTAGTAGCACACAGACCACCATCTGGCTCACTGCTGCCCGGCTCACTCACAGAGGCCTTCCTCTCTGCATAAGTCCCTAAAATGTTTTGCTGCAAGCAACTTCCCCATCCCAGGAAGAAAGGCTCCCATTACAATTATACACCATCACTCCTCTTTTTAAAAGCACAGACAATCCAAAGAAAGGCTGGCAATATTTGAAACAGCAAGATACCATCCATCATGTTGAAAAGAAAGGCATTACAGACATATAATCAATATAGAGTGCATCAACATTCCAGGCCACTTGTTGACTTACCTGGCTTTTTCAGTTTTTATCTCATGTCTAAAGAAAAAAGTCTTCTCTTCAAATTGAGAAACTGTGCAAATTAAAGTAATAAATGATACAGAAGCAGCATCAGCTGGGTGTCCTGGAGAGCCAGAATCCCATCAAGTTCTAAGAGGGGTTGTGGGTTGAGGAAAGAAAGGCCTATTGCTTCTCTTCATCTGGCCTAGCCTCCTGCATGTTAAACAAGAATTCTTTCTTTTTTCTTTTTGTTACTAGAACTTGAACTCCAGACCTTGTGCTTGCCAGGCAGGCACTTATGCCGCTGAGTTGTATCCCTGGCTCCTGCACTCTAAATTAGTGACAGTAGAGCACATGATGACCAAGAAAGAATCCTACCACCCCTGCACACGCACATATATACCTGTTCAGTATCTATACTCACTTCAAAGCCCTCATCAAGCACATTCTCTCCTAGGAAACTCTCCAGGCTCATTCCCCACTGCTGCACCTGAACCACCTTGCAGTTACGCTTGGTGTAAGTTGACTGTCAGAACCAGCAGTGCCCATGCCTTTTCCCACGAGTCCAGGACTCTTCATCACTCAGCACTTGATGAAGGCAATGGTTAGCAGAAATCCGACCCTTCTGGATGAAGTCCACCACTGGCAAAAGCGGGCAGACAGGGGCAGCAGTGAGAGTACAGATGTCTCAGGAGCATTCTGTAGGCCACGAGAAACCTGAGCCCTTGTGAGGAGAGATATGGAAGACACAGAGTCGGTTGTCAGATGGCTCTGGGCTCTGCAGAACAGTGACTGTGCCCTGCCTACTGAGATTACCCAATGGTTAGCCCTTAAAATGCAGTGTATTGAACCAAGTTGGTGAGTGCTGGGGCAAATCCATTTGTTCAAAAAAAGTCAAATTTCTCCCCAAGAAAATTACTTTCAGGACTTTTCTTTTTACAAGATTTGCCCTAAATTACAGCTCCTAAATAAGTCAAGGAAAAGAAAATTAATTAGAAAATAATTATGTGTAGAATGTAATTCTCAACGAACTACCAAGGATATACCTATTTACCTATGTGTAGAGCCTCTAATAGGTGTTCTCAGGAACACCTTATTGTGTGGGTTTCTTTAAAAGAAAAACAAGAAATCAAATCCGGGATGAGCTCAGTGGCGTTAGCACTTTTCTGGCAAGCACAAGGTCGTGAGTTCAATCCCTGGCACCAAAAAAAGAAAAGAAATCAAAGGTACCTAGTATCAATACAAGAGAATCCAGTCAGTCCTCCATAGCCACAGGTTCCATATCCACAGATGCAATCAATGTATTGGGGGAGGGAGGTTTACCTCTGTACTGAAAGTGTACCTCCTGGTGAAGTCCTGCCAGGCTCAGCGTAAAGCCTACTTAACATGGCACTGAACAGCACCTCCCTTCAAAACTGACTTCTGCATTCTTTTTGCAAACCTGAAAACTGAACTCCCTGTTTTTTGCACATGGGCCAACATTCCCCCCAATCAGATGTCAAAAGTCACTCTGTCTGCCCCTTAAACTCCACCCCTTGTCAAACTGAATAAAAAGCTAGCAGCTTGTCTGCCCCAGGGCATCCTTGCACTCTACCCTAACCCTCCTGTGCCTGCAATAGAGGCCTTTTTCTTTTTTCATTTCTTTGCTCCTGCTTTTTCTACTGCTCCGAGGAAAAACCTATTATAGTACTCATACTTTTTCTTGTCATTATTCACTAAACAATACAGTATAACAAGTATTTAAATAGCGTTTACACTGAATTCGGTGTTAGAAGTCACCTAGAGGAGATTTGGCATGGGGAGGATGTGCAGAGGTTCCATGTGGTACCTTACTATGTTATATGAGGAACGTAGGCATCAGTGGATTTGACAAGCACAGTGGGGGGTGTCCTGGAACAAGGGACAACTTCACATGATCTACGGTGCAATGACAGGTATGGCTGGTGTCTGGTGACAACTTCAGGACAAGATTTGCTTGTGGAGCAGAAGGAATACTGTAGTATTCCTTAGAGCACTTCCGGTAAGCGACAGGGAAAAGAAAGGCACTGGCAGAAGTTTAAGCCATTTGGTGGCAAGGTCCTTTCCTGACTTCAGGGGCATATTTAGATATCCTACTGCCCTCCTATTCAAGGTCCAAAAACATGTCACACATCCATTACACAGTGTCAGTCAGCCAGAGAAGAGCAATGGCTCGGTAATGCTTTGTAACTTGAACTTCTAAGTTTCTAAATGGCCAAATGGGCCTTTGCAATAGACTGCCCATTCTTATTTCTCTGAGTCTCACAAGAACAACTGTCCACATACACTTACATGAGGACAGGTTAGTCTCAGGCAAAGCTACACAAAGAGAAGAACCTGGCAGACCAGAGGGTCCCTTCTCCATGATCTTCAGGTCACAGATGAAAATCTAGGGCAGAAAATTATTTGACTAAGGTCATAGGACAAGTAAATGGACAACACATATACATGAAAGGAGAAAAAGGGAAAATGCAAAAGTTCCATTTTTCTTCAACCAACGCTGATATGATTCTAGACCAATCAGAGACCATGCAGAGAAAGGGCAAAATTTGTTTTAAAAAAAAAAAAAAAAAAAGCTGACCAAAAGGGAGAAAAAAATCCCAGGGAGCTTGCCTGCCAATTTCAGTGCTCTAAAAGATAAGACAAATGGAGGTATGTGTTTACCTCCAAGAGATGGAGCCAACACTGCAAATGTCTAAGAAGGCATATATCTTGCATATACCTTTGAAGTAGCTTTCTCACAGGGCAAACAAAATGTATGTTTATGGATTTATTTCTTTAATTGCCTATACCGCAAATAAAATGTACGCTTATTCATTTGATTACTTTTTTGGCTGACTGTACTGCTTCTGAAGTTTGAACTTTGTACTTACCGAGAGAGAGAGAGAGAGAGAGAGAGAGAGAGAGAGAGAGAGAGTGTGTGTGTGTGTGAGTGACTGCATGGAAACTATCACTTCTTTTGCATGTCTGAGCTCCTTGTCAGCAAGGATTACACCAAGTTGGTCATCACAACTGGCGCTGAATCTGGCATTTGGGAACAGAACAGAGATGCTTGGGGAACATGAAAGCGGTCATGAAGAAATGATGTGTGAACCCTTTCAAAAAGAACTGGTGCCTTCAGAGTGATGGGGAGAGGACAGAAGGTAAAGGAAGGCTCTACTTTCTTTGGTTGTGGGAAGCTCTGATGCCATTAATGCCCAATGCAAGCTGAAGGAGACCAGTCAGACTAGGACTGTGAAAAATACTGTGATCACCACATCAGGGCCAAAGACTAAGCAGGCAATCCAAGGGACAGAAACTTCTGTATCTGGAGAGGGTTTCCACTCACGAATTTTATATTACTATGAATTAAATAATTTTTACTTTCAAAGACATTCCCATCATTAATATTCCTCATTCAAAAGAACAGTTCAAATTTAGCTGTCCTAATGGAATCAGGTCATGGGATGCAGTGAGAATAGGTTATCACCTATATTATGAACTTCTTAAATCAAAATAGTTTAATTAGTCCATTTGTATTTTGCAGGCAGCAATCAAAGCTTAATTAGTTTACCACAAACAGCACTACTCTGGACACTTGTTCCATCTTCATTCATAACAACGCTTCATTTGGCACAGCAATACAGTTTTGCCTAATAAATTAAATCAGTGAGTCTTAACTACCTGAATTATGCATGAATCTTTTGGTGTCAATGCAAGTTTGATTATTTAATCTGTGTTACTATATTGAGCAATTCACCCTTGAATTTTCCTTGCATCCACAATAAATTGGAGATTTAAAAAAAAACATTAGAAGGAAAACTAGATTTTAAAATGATATTGAGAAAATTACTAGCTAAAATGCATGAGCCAACTTGCTGTACCATAGTCCCCAGTACAGATGAAAAGTGCATGGAGGCCCTACTGAGCAGTCATGCCAACCAGGAAAGCAGTATGCCTATGACTCCAGAACCCAATGTGTCCATGAAACTGTTACAGAATTTTAGCATAACACTGGGATTCAGTATCTGTTGAATGAGGAGAAAGTTCTGTCCAACTTTGCCATTCTCCTCACACTACCTATTCAGACTCCAAGTCAGAAGTTTCATCTTGGTTACTTTTCTCTCATTGCTTGGGACAAAATATATGACACTTAAAATTAGGAAAGAAAGGGTTTATTTAGCTCACAATTTGTGGAGGTTTCAGTCTATACTTGGCTGGCACAAAGGCAAAGAAGCTCATGGCAGAGAAGCAACAGTTCAGGGTGATGCAAGTGGCAAGAATGAAGGACAAAGGGGAGGAGCATGGAGAGAAGACTCTTTCAATGCCTTATGTTGTATGCAGGCCACACCCACTTGGGTGTCATAGTACACCCATAATCCCAGCATTGGACCATGAGTCATTCACCAACTCTAGAAGCCCACCCATGACCGCATGAGGCTTTGAAGTGACTCAAATCATAACATTTTGTCTCTGGACCCCAAAGACTCATGTACATCCCTTCATGGGAAAGGCATTTAGTCCAACAACAAGAGTTGCCAAAGTCCTAACAGTTTTAGTAGATTGCTGAAACATTAAAGTCTAATATCAAGACTCCCCCAATATCTAAGGCAAACTCTTAGCTGTAAACCCCTGTGCAAATGAAAACAAAGTTAAACACTTCCAACATTCAATGGCACAAGATAAATGTTACCATTCCAAAGGATATAAACAGGGGAATACAAAGGAATGGGACCAAAGTAAGGCCAATATCCAGAAGGACAAACATTAAGTCCTGCAGTTCCACACTCAGCATCTGAAGCAATCCAGTTATAAGCTTCAAAAGACTTGAGCAACTCCACCTCCATGGCACTTCCGGTTTGTAGCTTCCACAGCTTCTCTGTTAGGCCCACTTTGCTCTCTCCTTGCAGCTTTCCTTAGATGATCCACATTCATGGATTTCCAAACTTCTGGGTTCTCCAGGGCACCTTTGGCTTCACATTCACATCTTCACATATTGCCCTGTCAGCAGCACACTGCTTGGCCTCCTAGTCCCTCTGAAATCAGGGAAGAAGTCTTTTTAACCTCAGGGCTCTTGCATTCTGTATGCAGCTAAAGCCAGCACCATGTGGATGATGCGGAGGTCTACTGCCAGTCTGAGCAGTACCCAGGTCATTCTCTCTCTTGGCTATAGGGGTCAAGTGTCTGGATTGCTGAGCACTCTGGACCTGATTCTGAGGAACAAATTCTCTATGCTTCTGCCATTATGGAGCCTGGTGCAGCTGCCACCATTTTAGAACCTTGTGTGGCCTCTGCTGCCATTCTGGAACATGGTACTCTTTTAGGCTTTCTCCTCAAAGCAAAGTCTTACTTTTGCAGTTTTGAGGCTGCAAAGTGTGGAGACCTGCCACTCCCTCGATGCCCCTAGGCCATCTTTTCTATTCTTCTGTTCTTTCTTAGCAATCAAGATCTCAGCTCTATCATCACAGTCCACAGCTTTACTAAAGTGTCTTTCTGGTCAAACTCACATTTTAAATCACTCTGCTGTGCTCTTTGCTCTTGATTCACAACAAAAACCTGACTAAAAACCCCTCAGAATAGCCATCGACAGCCTCAACATTTGTCTGTCTTGAAATTTCTTCTGCCAGCTTAATTAGTCTACCACCCTTAATCTTAGTCTCAGGCAAAGTCTCTGAACATGAGCAAACTTCAGACAAAGCCATACACACATCCTCTTAAGTCTAACAACCAATGCAGTCCTTCTTTCCAGCAAAAACCTCCCAAGCCTGGTCTTTACCAACAGGATTTCTATCAGTCTTCTGTTCTTCTGAGCTCTGACCAGAATCTCCCATCAAGAACAGTCTAAGCTGTTCCAGCACTACTTTTTCAGGCAACATCTCTGAACCTTTCCAAACTCTTCCCACAAGCCATTCCCAAAGGCTCTCGAACCACATGGCCAGGTACAGTCACAGCAACAGCCTCACTCCTGATACCAAATTTGTTGTAGTCACGGGTTGCAAGGAAAACAATTACATACAGGACACATAACTTATGGTATTATTTATAATGGTCACCCAAGGAGTCAAATACAAAGAGTGCAGGAAACCTGTCCAAACACTAAAAACCTAGAAAATCCAGCTATGGACCTGGATCCCATGGCAATAACCTACATGAGTTCAGCTGAAACGTTGAGCCCATTGGAGCCAGAGCCTGCAATTCCAGTACTCATGAGGTTGATGCAGGAGGATCATTGTGACTTTGAGAACAGCCTGGGCTACAATGGGAGCTGAAGGCCAGCCTGAACTGCATAGTGAGACACTGCCTCAAAAAGACAAAAAAAAAAAACACCCCAAAACAAACCTAGAGCCCATGAAAATGCCTCCCATGAGTCCAACTGGAGGCCTAGAGCCCAAAACAATAACTCATATAGGTCTATTTCTGGATCTGAACTGGGAAGGCCCAAAGCTCAGCCGTGGAAACTAGAAAGTCTATGCCAGCGGGGCAAGGGATCTGTGTCAGTAGGTTGAGGATTCTTCACTGGAGCCAAGAAGCAACACTCAAAATAAAGACAAGGTTCTCCCAAAAAGTACCACAGCCATCCTTGATGACAATGAGATCCCCAAGCTCCTCTAATGATAAAAACAACCAAGTTCATTTCAGGAAGCCAGCATGACAAGCTTCTCCTGCAGATTATACAGCACACATCTTCCCCTCTGGAGCCAGGAAGCAATGCTCAAAGGTCCAAAGCTCCCCAAAAGTGAACCATTGCCATTATTATTGATAAAGTTCTGAGCTGTTCCAATCATAACAGGTATGTTCATATCAGGTAAACAAGCATGACAAGCCCCTCCAGGAGAACCAACAGCTCCAAACAACACTTAGGAGAACCCACAATGCTACTCTTCCTCTCCAAGTCTCCTTTTTATGCTGGCAAGTTTCCTCAGGTTAGCCATCTATTCTCAGGACACCAGCTGATACAGTTCAGCTGGTGTTTAAGTTAACCACCAGTTTTAATCCACCACATCTCATATCCCAGTGTTTACATGCACTGACACAGACTCTGAGCAAATCAGAAGATTAAGGCCTCAGTCTGTTACTCTATAAAATAAAGAAAATACGAATGTCCTCCTTAAACAGAATGGAGGACTTGGAGCACACAGGTAAAATGCCAGGTAAGGGTTACAGGAGAAGTTTGACACAGCCTCATCATTACTTTACTGCTTGTGGTTCCTTCCAGGTCATGTCCCTATACAATTTATAAACAGGTGTAATATGAGTGAGTTGGACAACTTACATGGCTTATACCAGCTTCTATAGTATGATTATGTATTTCTCACAAGTTCATGAGCTAGCACTGTGGTCCCTAGTGTGTTGGTGGTGAAACCCTTAGGAGGTAAAGCCAAGCAGGATTAGTCACAGAGGCTCCACCTTCATGAACAGATTATTCCTAGTGTCAAAGAGCAGATTAGGCTGGGCATCACAGGAGTGAACTGGTGCAGGAATCACCTTCTTTCAAAAGTGAGTAGTTACAAAGCGAAGTACCCCGTGTGCTTCTCCCTGTTGTGTGAGCCAGCCAGGGGTACTGACCAGTACGTTAGCATCATACTGTTTGGACCTTCCAACCACAAAACCAAGAGCCAAATAAATCTCTTTATATTAATAAGCAACACATCCTCAGATGTTCTATTATGGCAACTTGAAACAGACTAAGAAACCTTCTAATGACCCTGTATCATCACCTAAATGAGCCATAAACCACTAAAAATATTCCCTGCTGACTAGCATCTAGTTGCTCTCATATTTGCTAATATAAATAAAACCTGAAAGAGCACCTCCATGTATACTTCTTTCCCCTACTTTTGTTTTACAGTAAAGGCAAAAGATGTCATTAGAACTCAGATGATACAAGGTGATATGCAGCCTTCCTAAGAGAGTGAACCAACTCACACTGGCAATAGAAACACAAATATTGCATATCTCTCTTCATCCATTTTTGCCAGCACAAAACTTAATGCAAACAGGCAAATATAAACATATGTAATACATGGATATGTATGCAATACATGTATGCATACATAATAATGGCTCAAAGCTATGTAAATTTTTCTTTGCATAATCAACATTTAATCAGCAATTACTATGGGGAAAAAAAAAAAAAGATTTCACCATACTGTTCCTCTCACCTTTTTTGTAGTACTGGGGGATTGGGTACCGGTGCACATGCTAAGCGAACACTCTACCACTAAGCTTTATACTCATCCCTTTTTATTTTTTGAGACAAGCTTTTACTGAGTAGCCCAGGATGGCCCTCAAAGTGTGATCCTACTGCCTCAGCTCCTAAGTACCTGAGATTATAAGCATGTGTCACTGCACCTGGCTACCACACTGTTGCTGCTCCACAGTTAGACAAAAAGCTCCCTGAGGGGAAAAAGAATGGGGTTGTACCTGGAAGTTCACCACAGTGACAGAGTAGCCCAGCAGGTTCTCTGCATGCTAAGAGGAGCCCCTGCTCCAGCACAGCTGCCCTGAGCCTCTCAGGAACAACCATTCAGGCCAAGAAAATATTTTCCAAGGGCCTTGACAGTTATGCTTGTCTGGCCCTCTCTGTCTCTGACCAAAAGCTCAGAAAGACCCCAGAGCGCAGGCCTTGACAACGTAAGTGCTAGAGGAACAGGCTGGAGTGCTGAACACAGGGAGCCCGTCAACGCGTCAGTATACCTGACTATCCTAGTGTGTGGAGCTTCTTTATTACCAGCTCTATGGTCCACATTAGCTAATCCTCACATCCATCTAAAAGCATTATCGTTTTTCCCTAGTTAACAGGAGAAGTTAGGACATATCAGTCAACTTGCCTAGGTGACAAACCCAATTTAAATTAAGGTCCACAACTGTGGTCTCCCCAACTAACTGAGTTGTGCGAAGGCCCTGGTCCAGGGAGCTCTACTGACTGACCTCAGCATTCAGTCTTCCCCTGGTTCCTATGAGCCTGCTGCTCTCAACCCCAATCCGGGTCCTACCATGCATGAGAAGGCAGTAATGAGGAACTTGTTCTGGATGACTGTAAAACTGGGCTTCAGCACTGAGTTTCCTCCTTAAAATTGAGCCACAGGATATGGCAAAGCTCTCGATATCCTAGAAGGCCTTGATATGCTGGACAAAGGACTTCCTTGGACTCTCACAATCCTACCTGGCGACAAGGTGCTGAGCTCTGAAACCCTCATTTCCCTTGCTGAAAGGACACTGACATTTGCCTTACAGCTATGTTGGCCCTCCAAATAGTGTCTGCCTGCTGTTCATTGGCCTCTCTGAATAGTAAGTAGGAGGACCACACCTTATCTTGTAGAATGACTCTGAGAATAAATGAAGTGACATGCAAAAAAGCTCTCAGGAAATCATTATTGACAAAAGTAGCTAAGAGATACCAAGACCCACATGCTAGGTTGGTGATATGCAGGAAAAGACAAAAACAACTTAGTGAGCTTTATCCCTAGACGGAAGTATGGCTCAACACAGGAAAGCAGCCACTGTGCTGTAGTTCACTAATAAAAAATAAAAAAGATAGAAATCATAGGATCATCTCAGTGGAGACAGAAAAAGCATTTGACAAAACTGTAGTAAAAAAAAAAAAAAGTCAGATAAGTGATTGCCAAGAACTTGAAGCCAGGGCCACTGCTACCTGGAACAGAGTGAATGGAAATCCTTCAGAGTAGAGATACTATTTTTCAAGTTGATTTTGGTGGTAATGATCACATAGGTGGACATCAGAATGAATGAACTGTAGTGCATATAATCATATTTCAATAAATTTGAATTTTTCAAAAGTATAGCAAATGATTTAGATCAAGGATATACAAATAAATTCAACAACACAATAGTAAAATTATAAATAATCCATAAAATAGATGTAAGCCTTAAAGAGACACTTCAGAAAGTAAACCACATGAATGGCCAACAAGCACATGAGAAAATAGTCCACATCATGAAAATTAAGGAAATAAACATTATGATGTAGGATCAAATAATCTCCCGAATGACTGGCATCTTAACATTTTGTGGT